GGAGTTGGACTAGATGATCTCTAGAGGTCCCTTCCAACTCTGAAAATTCTGTGAATTGGCATAATTAAAGAACTGAAAAATATTTTCTAGTCAGATGTGCAGAAAGGTCTGTATTTAGTTAATTAAGAGGAGGGCTGAAAGGTTGCTTGAGCACAACAGTAAGGTAACTTCCCCAGTTCCAATAGCAATGCACTTACTGGTTCATACACTTCTAGATTTCAGTATGTGGCTTAACTACATTGCACACTGTCACGGTTTAAGCCAAACTGGCCATCAGGTGAGCAACAGATGCTTCCCCCTACCCCTCTTCAAAGAGAGAGGGAGAGGAGGGAAAAAGAGACATGAGTTTAGAAAAAAACTGAACTACTTTAATGAAATATTAATAATAAAATAAAAAGAAAATAATGAAAAAACTTACAAAACCATACCAAGCTCCCAGGATGACAATCACATCACTGGCTGGCACTGGGGCAGTCCCAGGCTGGACTCAGTGACGGATGGGAACTGGATTCGGGATCTGCATTCAGGATCGGGATCAAAGGCAGATGAACAGAGTCCTCCTCGGACACCAGCCACTGAAGAAAGAGGGCTGACCCTTTGATCCCTCAGCTTTTATACTGAGCATGAGGCAAATGGGATGGAATACCCTCGTTGGTCAGGTTTGGGTCACCTGTCCTGTTCGCTCCTCCCTGCAGGTGGGACCCCTCTACGCTTTTCCTTTCCGACCCTCCAACGGGGCAAATAACAAAGTTGGTTGGCCTTGGTTGTTATAGCAATAAGTATAAGCAAGAGCCTCTCTGCCTACCATGCCTTGGCATCAACTATAAACATAGGTCTTATCAGTCTGAGAGCGAACAGCTTCTGCACAATATGCTGCCAATTTCAGTAGTTCGAAGAGGCCCAGCTAAGAAGCAAAGTTGCTGAACAAAATTGGTCCTGTTTTACCTCAAACCAGGACAGAGTCACAGAGTAATATGGCTTAGAAGGGACTGCTGGAGGTCACCTAGTGCAACCTCCTGCTCCAAGTAACGCTGACTTCAAAGTTAGTTTAGTTCACTTCAGGGCCTCAGGCAGCTGAGCTGTGAAAATCTCCAGCCTTTGTGGGCAACCACTCTTCTGTGGATGTCTTTTCTTTATAGCCTTTATGTTTTTTAGCTTCACTTGCTACAACTTGTGACCACTGCCTTTTGCTGTATATCTCTGGGAAGTGTCTGGCTCTGTCTTCTATGTAAATCCCTTTGGGTAGCGTAATATTTGACATCCCTACCTTCATGTTTGTGCTTTAGGAGAATATGCTCCTACTTGAGCAGTGTGGATGCTGTAGCCTACCTCTGTAGTCACTGGAGAGATGGATGCCTATAGCTGGATAGAAAGCCTTTGAATCAGTTTGTCTGTAGATCTCCATGAGAGGCATAATTATATAAGACTTGTAGTGGATGTTTATACAGACTGTATTCTCAATAAGAGTTCCATGTGAATTAGTTTTATGTGGGGGAAAAAAAGCATTTTTGAGGAGCTGAAGCACCCAGTAGTTAGTCCGCATATGTGACAGAGAAACTGTCTGAGGACATTGCATCATGTCGCCTGTGTGGTGAATTGACACCCTAGTATTAAAGTGAGTATGTCTTGGCTAGGATAAGAAAATCTTTTTTTCTTTCTTAATTTGCAGAATCATTCAGACATTTGTTACACAACAGTGGAAGAACAGCAAAGAGAAATCTAATTGTACGCACAATAAGAAAGTGTCTGACAAAAAGGTGAAATCCCCTCTGCACATCTTTTCTACGTTGCGCAGGTAATAGCAAGGAAAATGAGCTGTTACCAGCTGTTAAAAATCCACAGCAGACTTCACAAGGTGAAATGTTGACTTTTCTCCATAGAGAAGTGCTCTATTTATATCTTACCTCATGGGTTTCCAATCCTTGCCTTGCATGACATCAAAAGCAAACTAGGTACTAAGACTATTTGAAGGCAGAGCATTTCAGTGCCCTGCTCTCTGAAACAGCCATGATTCAGCTAGAATTGGAAATAATTCATTTTATATTACTTAATTTGATTGTATTTGTACCTTTACTAGCTTAGTAGCATTTGACTGTTACTTGAATAGCAGGAATATATATAAAATATGTGTTATATATTATATAT